TTTAATTTGGCTTTACCTATGCAACAATAATATTTACACATCTTTTCAAATGGTTATAGGCCACATAGATATCCTGTGCTTTGTAATGCCTTTTAAGTATTTTTGCCCGTGTTTATTGAACTTGTTTAATTAGTATTTTATTACTGAGTGGCAGGAGCTCTTATTTGTGGGGAACTGATATTTTGTCAGATTTATATATTGAAATATTTTCACTAGTATGTGATTTGGTATCTTAACAACGATAATATGCTGTCTGTGGATGGACAGAATGTTGTGATACTGGTAATTCAAATTTATTTCTCTTCTCACAATATTTTTGGTTCAGACTAATAGAACTTTGAATACATCATACATTATTATTCAATTCTTTCTTTTTTCTTCCAAAAATTGTCGATTGTAGGGGATCATCCTAAAAATAGAATAGACAGTTGACATGTTGAATATTTCATTCTAATTAAGACAAACTAAAGCCATAAGATCACAAATACATTGAACAGGTTTTAGTATATCACACTCGGCCTTTTTATCTCAACCATATACACATCTTCCTTAGGACTGAGGAATCAGTTGTGACATGTCCTCCCTATGATGGGCAATATCATTTCCCTTGAAATAAAGGAATGCTGGAATTCTCCCTTAGATCCAGCAGAGATCCATAAAGCAGAAATTTCAAATTATAATAATGTGATAATACTATATTCTTCTAGGAGTAACCAAGCCTTATCCAAGGGCTTATTGTGATTCTTCTTCTTCTTTGTACCAATGGAAGCCCTTTCCTTAAACTGAGGAGAAGTATTATTAAACAGACAGAAAATGGAATAGCTCTTGTTGTACTCTGAGAAAAGCTAAGTAGAAGAATCTTCCATGGAGGCATAGAGCTATTCCTTTCGGCAAGCACTATAAAGCTAATACAGTTTAGACCTGGTTGACTAAAAGTGTAAGCCCTATTGTTCGGCTGCACAAATCCGTTTTTCTGTTAAGTAAACGAATTGAGTTTGTCAATAAATATATTTGCCTTAATATGTTAATAACATTAAAATGTCACATTGTTTAATAGAGATTATTTCAGACCCAGCTACTAAAATTTAATATGTTTAACATCTTAAATCACACTAGCAACACACACAAAAAAGAGGTGATGTAGAAAGTGGACTGACTAATTCCCATAAACTCTGTGTGAATTTTGCTGTACTATTGTGTGGACAGATAACCAGAACTTCAGAACACTTGTTTTGGAAGAACTCAAGATGGGAAATACATGATGAAAAGGAGAGTCTGAATCAATAAAATTAACAAATAAAAGCCATTATGTGCCATTTCAAATCAGAATAATTTATTGCAAAGGGCACAGAGAAATGCCATAGTAATGAAAGTACAAATTAGGGATACCAGGAGACATGAAGTAGGCAAATGTTATATTGCAAATCTTCTTACAATAGAAGATACAAATTATTAGTATTATTTTTGTATCTTGACCTGTTCCTGGAGGATCTTCTGTGGTTCAAATTTTGGGTAATTTCTTTACTGGCCTTATGGACTCAGATATTGGGCTTCCAGGGCAGGATTTCAGCAGCAGCCAGACCAGTATCTTCCATAGTTGCATGGACGATAGCAGCCATATCCGTAGCCTCCATAGAAAGGTCCATATCCGTAGCCGCCATAGCCACAGCCATAGCCCAGGCCACCGAGGCCATAGCCATAGCCGTAGCCCAGGCCTCCAAAGCCACAACCATAGCCCAGGCCTCTGTAACAGCCGCCGTAGTAGCCCATGCCGTCAGAGGTGATGAGTTTGATTTGCTGTTCAATGCAAGATCCTGAGAGTGAATGTCAGCATGTGTAGAGGAGTGCTTATATATCCCAGTGAGAGCACGTGATCCATCACGTGTATACCCTCCTTTTGTGTCACTTTTTACTACACCTACTTAAGATAACTTGTTAATTCCTTGTCCCTGACTCAGACAGAGGCCCTCAAACTCAATAAAATGCTTATATCACTTTATTGCTTAGTAAGGGTGGCCCTTAGAAGTTATTGCGTCACTTTGTCAAATCATCATGTTACACACTTTAAATATATACAGCTTTATTTGACAAATATGCCTCAGGAACACTGGGGAGAAAAGCTATTGCATCACTTTATCAGAAGAATGTTGTAGCTTCAAAGTCAGGACTTGTCAGAACACAAGTAGAATTCTTCATAGACAGATATACGGATCTTACTAGGAAGTGTCATGCTTTTCAATTAGATGTGTCTTCAACTCTGTTTTTCTTTAAATTGCTATATTCCCATTAGAAATTAAATGAATGAAATGACTGAAATTCAATGTTCAAACTTCCATTGTGCCCCTTTTAAAAACATTATTCCTATGTATAACCAATTAATTATTCATCTCTTACTGTGATAAGGAAACAGAAACATTTGAGAGCCTATAAAAATCACCTTCACAGTTGTGGAAACTGAAGGAATGCCAGAAAATTAAATTAGTTCAAATTTAGAACATTGCTCATCTTATATGGCCTCCATTTTACTTGGCAGACTACTTCGAAAAGTAAATGAAAACGTTTTGCCTGATACATTGATGAACCAATATTGATGTATATAATTATTACAATCCCTTGTTTACTATTCCTTCATTCTATGTTCTGTGGACTTTGAGATGCATGGAATAAAAGTATCATTTCTGGGTGTGATACAAAATAATCATAAACGTGTTCATAAGTAGCTATTTATTTATTTATTTATTTTTATTTTGGTATTATTTATCTACAATTACGTGAGTGACATTATGGTTACTAGACTCTCCTGCATCATCCAGTCCGCACCACATACTCCATTACAGTCACTGTCCATCAGCATAGTAAGATGCTGTAGAATCACTACTTGTCTTCTCTGTGTTGTGCATCCCTCCCCATGCCCCTCCCTACATTATGTCTGCTAATCATAATGCCTTTTCCTCCCTTATCCCTCTCTTCCCAGACTGCTGCTGTTTTGTTCCTTTATTTTTTTTCTTTGTTCTTTTACTCCATATATGAGTGAAATCATTTGGTACTTGTCTTTTTACACCTGGCTTATTTCAATGAGCATAAGTAGTTTTAAAAGTTGATTAAAAATTATTTACTGAATCCTGGCCCTCTTCTCTTGTGTATCTATCCCAATTTATTTCAAAATTGCAGATTATAATCTCCTCCCTATATTTACAGACACCATTTCCTCCCATTTCTTCATTACATAGCTAACACCTTATATAACCTCTTTCTGTAGACCTAGGTATCACTGTACCTTGGGTTTACAAAGGGGAAGAATGGTGAAGTTAATTTACATATATAATTATACGTGTGTGTGTGTGTGTGTGTGTGCATGTGTGTGTGTATTTGCCAGTGCAGACAGACAAATGTATAATTCCAGCACCATATAGCACCAGTAAGAATTTCAGTTATTCCAAACTGGTCATTTAGAATCTTTTAATTTGATTATTCATGTGTTATGTAGTGACAGCTGATGATGGTTTACTTTGGCTTTACCTATGCAACAATGATATTGATGCATCTTTTCATATGTTCACAGGCCACTTAGATATCCTGTGCTTGAAATGCCTTTTAAGTATTTTTGCCCATGCTTATCGGACTTGTTTAATTACTATTTTATTATTAGCAGGAGCTCTTTGTATATGGGGTAAGATATTTTGACAGATTTATATACTGAAAATATTTTCACTAGTATGTGATTTGGTATCTTAACAACTTTAAAATGCTGTCTGTGGGTGTACAGAATGTTGTGATACTTTTAATTTGAACTTCTTTCTCCTCTTTCAATATTTTTAGTTCTTATTAATCAAATTTTGATTACAACATACCTTACTTTTCAATTTTTTCTTTTTTGTTCAAAACATCATCCATTGTAGGGTATCATTCTAAAAATAGTATAGACAGTTGATATGTTGAATATTTCATTCTAATTAAGGCAAATTAAAGCCATAATAAGACCACAAATAAATTGAATAGGTTTTAGTACATTACACTCCACCTATTTATCTCTACCAGATACACATCTTTCTTAGGACTGAGGAACCAGTTGTGACATGTCCTCCCTATAATGGGCAATATCACTTCCATTTAAATAAAGAAATGCTGGAATATTTCCCTTAGATTCAGCAGAGATCCAAGGAGCAGAATAACTGGGGTTATTTTTGTTACTCTTCTTCTTTATACCAATGAAAGTCCTTTCCTCAAACTGAGGAGAAGTATTATTAAGCAGACAGAAAATACAATAGCTATTGTTGTACTCTGTGAAAAACTAAGTAGTAGAGTTGTCCAGTGTAGGCTTTGAGCTATTACTTTTTCCAGACATTGTAAAACTAATACATTATTAAGTGTTGACTAAAGTGTAGGTCTTATTGTTCGGCTGCACAAATCTGTTTTTATGTTAAGTAAACGTGTTGAGTTTGCAAAAAACAATTTGCCTTAATATGTTAATAGCATTGAAATGCAGCATTGTTTAATAGTGATTATTTTCATACCCATCTATTCTAAAATTTAATAGGTAAATATCTTAAATCACACTAGCAACACTAATAAAAATGTGGTGATTAATGTTGAAAGTAGACTAATTCTCATAAACTCTGTGCTAATTTTGCTGTGGTAATTGTGGGGATAGATAAACAAAACTATAGGACACTTGTTTTGGAAGAACTCAAGATGGGAAATACATGGTGAAAAGAAGATCCGAGTCAATAAAATTAACAAATAATAAAAGCCATAATGCATCATTTCAAATTTGAATATTTTATTTCAAAGGGCACAAAGAATTGCCATCGTAATGAAAGTACAAATAGGGGACACCAGGAGACACAGAGCCAGCAAATGTGTGGTAAATTTACAATAGAAAATGTGAATTATTATTTATTTCTATCTTGGCTTCTTCCTGGATGAACTTTTCTTCTCAAATTTTTTGTAATTTCTTTAGTAACCTATGGTTTCAGATGTTGGGCTTCCAGGGCAGGATTTCAGCAGCAGCCAGACCAGTATCTTCCATAGTTCCATGGACGATAGCAGCCATATCCGTAGCCTCCATAGAAAGGTCCATATCCGTAGCCGCGATAGCCACAGCCATAGCCCAGGCCACCGAGGCCATAGCCATAGCCACAGCCCAGGCCTCCGTAGTAGCCGCCGCAGTAGCTCATGGTGTCAGGGGTGGTGAGTTTGGTTTGCTGTTCAAGGCAAGATCCTGAGAGTGAATGTCAGCATGGGTAGAGGAGTGCTTATATACCCTACTGAGAGCATGTGATACATCACGTGTATACCCTCCTTTTTGTGTCACTTTTTATTACACCTACTTTAGATAACTTGTTAATTCCTTGTCCCTGACACAGACAGAGGCCCTCAAGGTCATTAAAATGCTTGAGATCACTTTGTTGCTTGGTAAGGGTGGCCCTTAGAAGTTATTGCGTCACTTTGTCAAATCATTATATTACAAAGTTTAAATATATACCACTTTATTTGACAAATATGCCTCAGGAACACTGGGGAGAATAGCTATTGCATTACTTTATCAGAAAGAATGTTGTAGCTTCAAGGTCAGGACAAGTCAGAATACAAGTAGAATTCTTCATAGGCAGATACCAATCTTATTCGGAAGTGCTTGAGATCACTTTGCTGCTTAGTAAAGGTGGCCCTTAGAACTTACTGCATCACTTCAGCGAATCATCATGTTACACACTTTAAATATATACAACTTTATTTGACAAATATGCCTCAGGAACACTGGGGAGGATAGCTATTGCATCACTTTTTCAGGAAAAATGTATTTCAACAAGAATGTTGTATTAGTGCACTACATTTCTAATGTCTTATATAATCTCCTTTTATTAATGAAAAGGCTTTATTTTTACCACAGTTGTAATTTACAGAAAATTCAGCAGGAAGTACAGGTATTTCCTATACCCTACACTCATACATACATTTTCCCCTATTATTAAACATCTTGAATTATTGTGGAATATTAATTACAAGTTTTGAACCAATACAGGCACTTTATTAACAATTATATTGTATCTTTTAAAGTTCACTCTTTGTGTTGTATCATCTATCATTTGTGACATACCATCTATCATTTGTGACAAATGCATATCTTGTAACCAGCATTATAGTTATGCCACAACCTTTAATGCCCTGTGCTCCACCGATTTTCCTTTTCTTCCCCCGAGCTCCTGCAACCACCACTTTTCTTTTCTTCTTAGGAAGTACTGTACTAGTATCTACTAAGATATCAAATGTGTCTTAAATTCTTAGTTGCTAAAACGAGTATCCAAATCCATGGGTTGTCAAATTCAGTACAGAAATGCCTTCAGAATCTCCAAAATAGTTATGTTAATAGTTAAGGGGTGAAAAAAGGCACTTGAGGGCAACGTCCCTCAGGAGACTATAAGAAGTTGCTTAGTCATAGCCAAAGTTGACCACAAACCTGGTTCTTCCAGCTTGGCCCCTAGGTTTAGGTGAGTCTTAAATTCTTGTGATTTATAAATATCCTCTAATATACTGTTCAGGTCCTCCAAACTTATATATAATTCTCCTGTGATACATTTTTACAGCTGGATTTGTTTATCTCTTTTTGTAATTACCATGGAATAGAAACACAGAAATAAAGTGACAAAAGAATGAATGAATTCTAAGGTCTTTAAAATAAGCACCATGTTTCTCCCAAGCATAGGTAACTCTGCCTGTATCTAAACAATAAGGATTTGAAGGAAGAATAATCTTAAATGGCTTTCTGACTGCAGAGGAACATATAATCAGCATTTCATTTGCATTGGTTCTTTTTTTCAATTATCATGAATTATATATTATATAATATATATTATATATACTTCAGTATAAAACTTCATAAATTCTGGCCAATATGCATACACTACCTATAGAAAATATACCTAATGCCTAAAATATATCTTGCTCCCTTTTGGTCATTATCACCCATCCTTGTAGATTTTAAGAAGAGCCTCAGTGGCTCTTGTCAATAGTTTTCCAAAATGGTTGTCAGATTTACAGTCTACCAGCAACGTAAGAAACTTCCAGTTGCTCAGTACCTTTGACAACATTGAACATTTTCTTTCTATTTAATTAGGATCATACTTGTGGGCATGTAGTAACCTGAATTTTGTTTTAATTTGGTGTTTACCTGTTGAGCAACAGTATTGGGCAAGATTATTTATGCTTATTGATCATTTAAATACTCTCTTTTCTGAAGTGTCTGTTTAGTCATGTAGTTCATTCTTGGTTGAATTTGTAATATTTTAGTCTTAATTTTTAGGACTCTTGATAGGCATGCGCAGAGGTATTTTGTCATATCTGTGTTTTGAAATATTTTCTGCTTGTTTTGTCTTGTTTTTTCACTTTGCAATGCTGTATATCTATGAACAGAACTTCTTAATATAACTAGTGTAGTCGTATTTCTCAATTCTTAACAGACCATATTTAAAATATTGATGCCCCTTTAAAGAAGTTGCTTCCAAACTTGAGAAAAAACAAAGAGAAGGAGAGTGAAACAGGGAACAAAGCAAAAAGATGTTTCTTACACATATGTTTAAGCTTAATCAAATTGATAGGGCCCCACCCAGTTAAATAAACATTCAAACTCCATTACAGTGATTACAGTGATAGACTCAAATAGGTCAAGAGGGTATTCTGAAAATTTATGGCTGCTTTCTGGGATCTAGGATTATGATATTAAGCTGGAAAGAAATAAATGACTCTATTGAATTTGCACAGGAATTGTGGTGAGGGACAAAAATGTAGCCAATATGAAATACTGTATTATTTCTCTGAGGTCATTTTAAGGATATCTTTAATATTGAGTGTTTGGGGTTTATTTATTTATTTAATTTTTAAATATTTTTATTGGATTCTTGTTGATATGCAATATTTTCTTGATTTCAGGTGTACAACGCAGTTATTTGATGGTTATCTACATTATTAACTGCTAACCCCAACTAGTTTAGTTACTCCCTGTCAATATAGAAAGATGTTACAAAATTTTTGACTATATTCTCTATGCTGTGTTTTCATCCCTGTGATGAATTAAAATGATTGAGATATTCTGCCCCTATTTTATATAGGGTGCATATATTTTTTCAAATCAGAGATTTTGTTTTCTCCAAGTAATGCCTAGAAGTGAGATTATTGGGTAATATGGTATTTGTAATATTAGTTTTTTGAGGCATTTCTGTAGTGTTTTCCATAGTGGCTGCACCAATTTACTTTCCCAACAGTTGTGTAGGAATGTTTTCTTTTTAATCTGGACATGTGTTTTAAATTCATTACTACAAAGGATGAGCAAATTAAAGAAATATTTGTTAATGATTTACACATAACACTCCTGGGGTATCTAGTCTTCCACAGCCTGATATCCATGTGTTGCATTTTTGAGAACCTGCTACTTTAATGACTAGAGACATATTTATAGTTCTTTTGAGGAGATAATACCACAAAACTTTATGGTAATTATGGTAATTTAAAAGTCACAAAATCATTCTAGCATTACTTTATTCTAGAATCTCAGTTTTGGAATTTATTGAACTATATCAAATTGCAGTTACATGTGTATCGGCCTTTCAATAAAAATTTTGTAGTATTTTTACCAGGCCAAAATAATACAATAGAAGATAAATAACCTGATTATCTAATGGTTTTTTAATACCAAATAGGAAAGAAATAAAATACTTTGTACCAACTTCTGTCCTTAAATATACTTATACTGCATGGAAAAAGAAAGCAAATTCCTCAAAATAAAAGGTTTACTAAAACTGACACAAAAATAAATAAAAATAAAATAAGTAATAATAAAAATTAAAAAATAAAATAAAATAGTAAAAACCTCAGATATTCTCTCCATGGAAGTAAAATTTGTGTATTAAAAAAAAGCAGGCTTCTCACATCCCATGCTCATGGATAGGAAGAATTAATATTGTCAAGATGGCCATCCTGCCTAAAGTAATCTATAGATTCAATGCAATTCCCATCAAAATACCAACAGCATTCTTCAATGAACAAGAGAAAATCATCCTAAAATTCATATGGAACCACAAAGACCCCAAATAGCCAAAGTAATACTGAGAAGGAAGAATAAAGCAGGGGGAATTACACTCCCCAACTTCAAGCTCTACTACAAAGCCACAGTAATCAAGACAATTTGGTACTAGCACAATAACAGACCCATAGACCAATGGAACAGACTAGAGAGCCTTGATATAAACCCAACCCTATATGGTCAATTAATATATAATAAAGGAGCCATGGACATACAATGGGGAAATGACAGCCTCTTCAATAGCTGGTGCTGGCAAAACTGGACAGCTACATGCAAGAGAATGAAACTTGATTATTGTTTAACCCCATACACAAAAGTAAATTCGAAATGGATTAAAGCCTTGGATGTAAGTCATGAAACCATAAAACTCTTAGAAGAAAACATAGGCAAACATCTCCTGAATATAAGCATGAGCAACTTCTTCCTGAACACATCTCCTCGAGCAAGGGAAACAAAAGCAAAAATGAACTCATGGGACTACATCAAACTAAAAAGTTTCTGTATGGCAAAGGACACCATCAACTGAACAAAAAGGCATCCTACAGTATGGGAGAATATATTTGTAAATGACATATCTGACAAGGGGTTAACATCCAAAATATATAAAGAACTTACATGTGTCAATACCCAAAAACCAAATAACCTGATTAACAAATGGGCAGAGGATATGAAGAGACAGTTCTCCAAAGAAGAAATTCAGATGGCCAACAGACACATGAAAAGATGCTCCACATCACTAATCATCAGGGAAATGCAAATTAGAACCACAATGAGATATCATCTCACACCAGTAAGGATGGCCAGCATCAAAAAACTAAGAACAACAAATGCTGGTGAGGATGCGGAGAAAGGGGAACCCTCCTACACTGCTGGTGGAAATGTAAATTAGTTCAACCATTGTGGAAAGCAGTATGGAGGTTCCTCAAAAAGCTCAAAATAGAAATACCGTTTGACCCAGGAATTCCGCTTCTAGGAAATTACCCTAAGAATGCAGCAGCCCAGTCTGAAAAAGACAGATGCACCCCTATGTTTATTGCACCACTATTTACAATAGCTAAGAAATGGAAGCAACCTAAGTATCCATCAATAGATGAATGGATAAAGAAGATGCGGTACATATATGCAATGGAATACTATTCAGCAGT